CTATGCAGAGCTCACAGCAAGACTAGAAAGACGTTATGGGCCTGGTGAGCAAGCCGAAACATACCTAGCCGAGCTTAGGAGCAGAACAAGGACAGAAAACGAAAGTTTGCAAGCGCTGGGGCAGGGAATACGTCGACTCACAGAGCTGGCGTATCCTGAGCTGCCCCGAGATAGCAGAGAGCGTCTGGCACGGGGGTATCTGGTGGATGCCATACCCGATGCAGAAATTAGAGCGGGAATCTTCAGAGCACACCCTAGTACGTTGGATGAGGCGATCAGAGCTGCGCTGGAGACCGAGTCTTTTCTGAAAGCGGAGAGACAACGGCAGCGAAACCAGGGTGGTCGCCCAGACAGAAACAATCGAGTCACAAGACAAGTGGAGATTGTCTCAAGGGATGAGTTCGAAAGGCAAACACGGGCAAAGTCGGAGCAACTGAGGCAGGTGCATCAGATGTTGGCCGGGCTAACTCAAGCAATGCAGAATGACACACGGCACCCTGAACAAGCCGACTTCGAACAGAAGCGTCAAAAACTAGCCTGCTACCACTGTGGAAACACGGGGCACTTTAAGAGAAACTGCCCTGAACTGAAGAACAGAGCACCGTCGGGAAACGACTCCGGACCAACCCAGGGGGTCGTGGGAAGGTCGGCAACACAAGACCCCAAACCTGTGATACAGATCCAGAAAAAGTAGAGGATGGTGGAGAACTTCCAAGGAAGCAGCTCCACCCAGTACCACTACCAAGTGAAGTTGCTTCATATGGGGTATTCGTGCCGGGTGAAATTGGGACACATCCACTGCCATTCCTAATAGACACTGGGTCGTCAGAGACATTGATAGACACAAAAGAGTACAACCTGATGGATCGAGAAACCAGACCTATACTGACACCGGTCGATGAAGTTATCCGCCAAGCCGATGGGAAACCACTCCCAGTAAAAGGAAGTGCCCAGATGGAGATACAAATTGGAGCATATAAAGCGCAGGTGGAAGTCTTGGTTGCATCCATCAGAAACCAAGGAATACTTGGCATGAATTACCTTCTGACCACTGGCAGTGTACTGGACTTGAGGCATCAGCAATTGAAGATTGGGGAGCATGTAATTCCTTTACAAGGAAAAGATCAGACGAGCATTTTCAGCTGCCGAGTGCGAGCAGACCGGACTACAAGGATACCACCCGGGCATGAAGCAATCATCACTGGTGTCCTGGACGAGAAGAAAGACCTCCATGGATGGGGGATCATCGAGCCAAATGACAGGAGTAAGGTGGCAAAACGAGGTCTGATGGTAGCGAGGGTACTTGTGGATGCCACTGCAGATAAATACCCGGTTCGAGTGTTCAACCCAAGTACTACAATTGTGATGATAAGTGGAGGTAGTGTCTTGGGGACCATCACATCCACGGCTGATAAGGACATTCAGAAAGATGATCGATCTACGATTAGGATGATGGAAAGAGGGGAAGAAACAGCAGAGAACAAGGCTGGTCAAGAGCTTCCAGAACATCTCACCGATCTGTACCAACAGAGTGTTGAGAACTTACTGGAGAGTCCAGATAGAGACAAGGTGAAGAAGCTACTCATCGAGTATTAAGACGTTTTCTCAAAGGGCACGGGAGACCTGGGGAAAACGGACCTGGTGCATCACGAGATCAGGACAGATGATACGGCCCTTATACGCCAACGTCCCAGACGTCTCCCTACCTGGCAACGGGCTGAGGCGGACGAGCAGGTACAAGACATGCTACAGAAGGGAATAATCGAGCCATCAAATAGCCCATGGGCATCTCCAGTCGTCTTAGTGAAGAAGAAAGATGGATCCACCCGGTTCTGCGTGGACTACCGGTTTCTCAACGAACACACACTGAAAGATGCATACCCGATACCCAGGGTGGACGACAGCTTAGATTCGCTAGCAGGGGCACAATGGTTTTGCACCCTAGATCTGGCCAGTGGATACTGGCAAGTGGAACTAAATGAGGATGCCAAGGCCAAATCAGCTTTCGTTACCAGAGGAGGACTGTACCAGTGGAAGGTCATGCCTTTTGGCCTCTGTAACGCCCCGGCTACATTCGAGAGGCTGATGGAAAGGATTCTCTCCGGGCTTCAGTGGGAAACACTACTACTGTACCTAGATGACATTGTGGTCTTCGCCAAGACGGTGGATGAGGAGATAGAGAGACTTGAGGAAGTCTTCCGGAGGCTGAGACAGGCCAACCTCAAACTAAAGCCGAAGAAATGTAGCCTCTTCAAACAATCGGTAGCCTACCTGGGACATGTGATATCCAGTGAGGGCGTAGCCACGGACCCCGAGAAAGTGAGAGTTGTGGAGGAATGGCCAACACCTCGTTCCACCAAAGATGTAAGGAGTTTCATTGGATTGGCTTTTTACTACCAACGTTTCATTCAAGGGTTTGCCAAGATTGCCCAACCATTGCACCGACTTATGGAAAAGAACCGGATGTTCCTGTGGACAGAGGACTGCGAGGTTGCTTTTCGCACTCTGAAGACACAGTTGACATCAGCACCCATACTAGTCTACCCCGAAGAGGGAGGAGAGTTTGTACTAGACACGGATGCCAGTAGCACAGGCCTGGGAGCTGTGCTATCCCAAAAACATGATGGTGTGGAGAAAGTCGTTGCCGCACGATGTCAAAGCCAGAAAGGAATTACTGCGTCACGAGGCGAGAACTCCTGGCCGTTGTGACATTTGTCAAGCACTTCAGGCATTACCTGTATGGTCGACACTTTGTAATCAGAACCGATCATGGAGCCTTGAGATGGTTGCTAAACTTCCGTGACCCAGAAGGACAACTGGCTAGATGGATGGAGATCTTGAGTGAGTACGACTTCACGATCCAACATCGGCCAGGTCAAGTCCACCAGAATGCAGATGCACTCTCCCGCATGCCATGCAAGCAGTGCGGAAGAGGTATAGAGCAGAACGAAAAGGACCAGGTGGAGATGCCTAGAATTAATTGCCCAGAAGATTCGGCAATTGGCGATCCTCGGAACGAGGGAAAACAGGAGGAGACAAAAGGGGAAGGTCATGGCCAACAAAACGTACCGACGACAGGGGTGCATGCAGATCGTGGGACTAGAATGATAAGTCTCTCACCAAAATGGACGCTGAAGGAACTGAGGGAGAAACAGTTGGGTGATCTTACGATTGGACCTATTGTCAGAGCTAAGGAGAATGGAGGGGACAGACCAGAGTGGGAATCTCTCTCCACTGAGTCAGCAGCAACCAAAACATATTGGGCCCAGTGGCAACAGCTGAAGATGCAACAGGGAGCTCTATGCCGACGCTTTGAGACAGATGACGGAAGGCAATGTAAGTTGCAAGTAATTTTGCCGTCATGCCTGCGGGAAAGTGTCCTGGATGAACTCCATGATAGTAAAACGGCATGTCACCAAGGAGTGCGCAAAACCCTACACAAGGTCCGACAAAGGTACTACTGGGCAGGAGTATCGGCCGATGTGCGTTCCAAGGTTCGACAATGCACAGTGTGTGCAAGGAGGAAATCACCGGGCAAGAAACCCCGAGCTCCCCTTCAACAATACACGGTTGGCGCACCGATGGAGAGAATCGCTCTGGATGTTATGGGCCCCCTGCCCAGGAGCGACCGAGGCAATGCGTATGTACTAGTTGTGGGAGATCCATTTACGAAGTGGATTGAGGCGTACGCACTGCCAGACCAGAAGACACCGACCATAGCAGAAACTCTGGTGGAGCAATTTATTTGCAGATATGGCTGTCCAAAAGAACTCCACAGTGACCAAGGCACAAACTTCCAGTCTGCCATATTCAAAGAAGTTTGCAGATTGCTGGGGATCGACCAGACGCGAACTTGCCCGTGGAACCCTAAGTCCGACGGATTCATTGAAAGATTCAACCGAAGCTTGGTGAATCTGGTTGGGCCGTTCGTAAAGCCAGACCAGAAGGATTGGGATGTCCAGTTGGCATACTCGATGATGGCATACCGAAGTACGGCTCAAGAAAGCACCGGAGAGTCACCTTGCACCATGCTTATGGGGCGGGAGATAGCACTACCACTACACGCGCTTACCGATCTACCAAACGACAGTGATGACCACATGTCGACTGACTATGCCAAAAATCTCCGACAGAAAATGAGTGAGGCACATCAAAGAGCTCGGAGCAAAATGAAAGTAAATCTTCGGAGGCAAAAGCGCAACTATGATCGCCATGTTTCGTGTAGCAAGATACAAGCTGGAATGTTTGTATGGCTGCACAACACTGCACGCAAGAAAGGATTGTCTCCCAAGCTGCAGTTCAAATGGATTGGCCTGTATCTAGTCCTGAAGAGGTTATCAGATGTGACCTTCCGGATACAGGAGAAACCAAGATCAAAGCCGAAGGTTGTGCATTATGACAAACTGAAGATCTACACGGGCCCAGAGAGAAGAAAATGGCGAACCGAGGGGAGAGATAGCGTTCCTGTGGAGCCGGAGACAGAGGATGAGCAGGAACTTCCACCAACTGATGAAGATGGTGTTCACTTGGCGGAAGATAGTCCACTTGGAGAAACCACAGACAACATGGGGGAATGCCCACTTCACCTCGAGCCCTCTGTTGAACGATCGACAGAACAAGAATCGGTGGGAGGGGAACGAATTTCCGTCCAAGGAAACGGCAGTGAAGATATCACAACGGGCCTAATTCCAGACGAGGAGCAAGAAACAGCATCAAATACCCAACTCTTTGTCGGGCGGTACCCAAAATGCCAGCGACGACGTCCCGCTAGGCTACAGGATTACGAAGTTTAGCCCATACAAGAAAGAAAGGGATTTAGCAGAAAAATCAGCTAAAATGGTCATCGTTGCGGCAACTTTTAACTGCCGGCCACCACAGCCACCGCTAGTTCCACTTCAGCCACCACAGCCACCGCAAGTTCCACCTCAACCTCCACTGCTACTAGCCACCCCAAGACTGGGGGAAAGTCGTTGAAGCTACTGCGGCAGCTTTACGCCGAGATGGTAAGCTCGTCGACGGAAAGTGACGACCCGGCGGAGGAGATGGCGACAGATCATATCGAAGTAACCACCATCACAAGAGTTTTCCGCCGAGGGGTCCTGTTCAACCAGAAGGAGGCCAAGCAGGACTTTTATTTCTAGAGAGATAAGAGAATTAAGTCAAGCTCATGTATAAAGTTACACAAAAGTTGTCAAGTATTTATAAAAGTTAAAAGAGTTTTGAAATTCAAAGTTTTAAAGTTTAGTTAAGTTTTTAAACGTTTTACAGTTGATGTTAAAAGTTAAAACATTGAGGACCGAGTTATCTTTAAAGAGTAAGATATGAACCACTTTATTTTGTTATACATGTACATGTACTAAGAAGACTTTTATAGAGGTATTTTGAAAGTGTTGCTCATCTATTTTATATAAAGTCATCTATTTCATATAAAGCCATGTGTTGATAAAAAGGAAAAATCATTCGATTTTAGAGTTGTTCTAAGATGATTGTTAAACTAGGTTTGTGTGCACAAATATTGCTGCTTATGAGATTTATTAAACCCACTTTGTCAGCTGCGAAGATTGTAAATTTTATATAAGAATACTGAATGAAGGCTGTGGCTCTGATTCAAAATCTTAAGTTTTCAAATGTTTGTTGTGTGGAAACTTTAATAAATTAAGACTTAACAGTTTCAGGGACTGCAAACTCTGGGGGGAGGTCATGTGATGAATCATCAACTATACGTTTTATACATTAACATGAACTGTGTAGTGACTTTTCTTTAGTGCCCAGTCACTCATACTAGAACATCAGCATTTAATTCGCCAGCGCTGTTAGTGGGCGTGGCTTAAGTCATCTACTGAGCAATACTGCATTTTCATTGGTTGAGGCACCCTGTGTACTTTAGTAGTGAGGGGCATTTATTGTATGTGAATGTATATGACCATGTTGGCCTATAAAAGGCACAGTTCGAGAGAATAAATCTCACTTCTTCGCCTGGTGGGACCAAAGAAGTCAAAGAAGTCTCCTGTCTCTGTTTTATTGTCTAATTGTCACTAATTAGGGTGTAAGTCTCCCCCACTTGAGCCACTCGAGCCACTCGAGCCACTAGAGCCACTCGAGCCACTTGAGCCACTTGAGCCACTTAAGCCACCCTGAGCCACCGGTCAGCCACTCAGAGCCACCGGTCAACCTCCCAAACCACAGGCTAATCCACCCAAAACCACAGGTTAATCCACCCAATCCCCTAAATCCCAAACACAAGTTGAGTTAGCGCTTTCCCCTGGTGGAGCAGATTTGGGAGTGCTGTTCGTCACTTGGTGCTGTGGCCTCCAACCGCAGGTGCTTCAACTCCATCGGGACTGGGCCAGAGAGGCAAGGGACCGACTAGGCGACGCACGTTACAATATTCAGGGCATATTATTGATAAAAAAAAATCATAATGCGGAAAAGCCCTATGTTCTGTTGCAAACAGACATAGACCTCTAGTTTTTTTTCTTTTTGTCGCCCAAAATCCCATAGACTTTGTACACGATTTTGCTGTGCAGCACTTTTGGCAATAATCTTTCTCGGACATCATTGAAAGTTGGCATAAGCATAGTCCCTATAGCAAAGATGTGTCCCGAAGATTGACGTCATGGTGACGTCATCGACTAATTTATTATAGATTTTTGAATATTTAATTTTTCCCATAGACTTTGTACACAAAAATTAAGAAAAAAATTGTCGAATTTCAAAGGGCATTTTTGACTCTTTGCCAGTAATTCATTTACACCACTATTTGTCCAAGCAAAGACCCTAATTCAAACAACATTGTGTAATGGTGACGTCATGATGACGTCATCGGGTGTTTATTTATAGGCAATTAAATTGTGACACTTTTAATATTTAAAAATGCATAAGAAATCAACCATACGCGTCCGCAGCATTCTGTTGCCAGCAAATGGTAGAGTAGGCTGAGGTCTTTATTTCTTTCAGTATGCGTGAAATCACGTGACCCTTGCTTCCGGTCGAAAAAGGCCAAAACCGGAAGTGGCTTATTATTTGAAAATGGTAATAGATATGAACTTGCTTTTAACGGTGTTAGTCTCTTGGCTAAAAGTATTCTTCAAATCATCTACCAATGACGTCATGCAATCTTCGAGCGCCCTCTAGCAACTGGTTGAAAATTTGCAAAAATGTATTTTGAATAGATGTCTGTGGCGAAGTTTGTCGGAATCGCCTAAATACTGGTGTATATAATGACCTTGACCCACTTAAGACGTGTGCGAAGTTTTAGGCGAATGACGTCATCAGACCGGAAGTTATAATAAAAAGACCCTTTTTCATTTGAAAATTCCTGAAAAATCAACCATGGCAGTTTTTATGTTAGTTTTTACTTTAATTGTCAATTGAAGGGTAGGTCTAAAACATTTCAAAGCTTTGAGGCAATAAGCGAACTCAGACATGCCTTGCGCACGCTTAAAACTTCAGGTTGACAATACTTTTGCTCTAAAACATGCACAGAATGTCTATATGTACATACACGTACGTTACGCACATTCATCGTATGTCAGTCAGCCTGTAGAGCACGTGTTGCCGAGGTCAAATCCTGTCCACATCACAGTGACCGTTTTAGCCGATTTTTGGCTAACTTTGACAGATTTTATGTTCATGCATGCGCAAAGTCAGGGACGTATAATAAAAAATCATCATTCCGAAAAGCCCTATGTTTAAGGTACAGTTTTTCTGCAGTGGGATTTTCCACAAGTCTTTTCTTATACAACACTGATATCTTACTGAGTAGTTCTGAACTTTAGCCGAGAATTACTTTGAGAAAGAAAGAGAAATCGTATTTTTTTCGCGCTGTCATTCGATTGAACATATTCCTAAGGGTCAGAATATCAAGTAATATTTCATGAAAATGTTTCAGTTCAAAAGCAAATTACAAATTTAAAGGTGCAATTTTTCTGCAGTAGGATTTTGTTTAGCCCGTTAACTTTGTACACGTGTTAGCCCATTGACTTTGTACACGTTTTCAAGCCACCATTTCTATAACTTGGCAATCTGGAATCGTCATCAATGTTACAGCCAAGTAAGACCCTCATACAAAAATTATGCCAAGACTATGACGTCATGATGACGTCATCACCTAATTTTTTTATTGATTTTTGAAAATTTACGTGCATATTATGAAGTCCTATATCTATAGAACTGTAATTCTGATTGGGTTGAAACTTGGTATGTGGCTAGACCGGGATGTGTTATAGGTAAAAAAACAATTAGGTGAAGCCATGATGACGTCATCCGGAGATTTTATATGAATATTTGAAGTTTTTGACCTTTTAGCCATATCTCATGAACGTAACATGCAAAATTCAAAATTCTTTGTGTATTTGGTCTGTAATAGGTAAAAGGTATTTGCACAACATTTTGAACAAAATATCTGACATCATTATGACGTCATAAAAATGCGATTTCTCAAAATACATATAAGGAAAGGTCTGACTGTCATGAAACTTAGTGGGTAGGTAAATAATGGTACTAGTATACAAAGTTTAAAGTGACGTCACGATGACGTCATCGTTTGGTTTTTATAATTTTTAGATATTTATAATTTTATTCTGCTTCCACAAATTGCACACTTTCTTTCATCGGATTGACATTAAACTTAATTGGTTCAAACCAAAATCACAATGACAAAATGTGCATTGAGAAGGGTCTTAAGGATGACGTCATTGCAAGGTAAGTGACATCATTTGATAAAATTATACTTTAGGAATTATTCTAAGCGTTTTGAACAACCTTTAACTGCATGAAGCACTCTGAAAAGCGACTGCAAAAGGACAAACGAAACAAATATTTGTAAAATGCGAAAAAGCCCTGTGTTCTGTTTGCAAACAGACATACAGCTCTAGTTTCTTTTTCTTTTTCAGTCGTTTTGCCCATAGCATTTGTACACGTTTTTTTGTTACCGGCACTTTGGGCACTAAAATCAATCCGATTGACTTTATACTTGGCACACACTTAAGACCAGCATCTGAAGTTGTGCGCCGAACATTGACATCATCATGACGTCATCATGAGTCACGTGACGTCACATTATATGCGATTTTGCTGTTGTGACCATTTTCTAGCAGAATTCGGCTAGATCTGACAGATTGGGCTATATCTCCAGAAGTACAGGTCGGATTAGGTTGAAAGTTGGTATGGACCTACACCGGGATGTGTTATAGATGAAAATTGAAGTGACGTCACGATGACGTCATCACGTGACATGTGACGTCACAATATAGGTGCATATTTTGAAGGCCTATATCTCCATGACTACAGGTCCGATTGGGTTGAAACTTGGTATGTACATAAACCGGGATGTGTTATAGATGAAAATTTAAGTGACGTTACGATGACGTCATCACGTGATGTGACGTCGTCACGTGACATGTGACGTCATATTAAAAATTGCATATTTTGAAGGCCAATATCTACAGAACCAGAGGTCTGATTGGGTTGAAACTTGGTATGCACCTACATGTAAACTGGGATGTGTTTTAGATGAGAATTTAAGTGACGTCATGATTTAGTCATCACGTGACATGTGACGTCATATCAAATGTGCATATTTTCAAGGCCAATATCTACAGAACTACAGGTCTGATTGGGTTGAAACTGGGTATGTATTTAAACCGGAATGTGTTATAGATGAAAATTGAAGTGACGTCATGATGATATCATCACGTGACATGTGACGTCATACTAAACGTGCATATTTTGAAGGCCAATATCTACAGAACCACTGGTTCGATTGGATTGAAAGTTGGTATGTACCTAGACCGGGATGTGTTATAGATGAAAATTGAAGTGACGTCATGATGACGTCATCATGGGTTAGGTGACGTCTCGTTAAAGATTAATAGATTTAATCTTTAAAAATCAATATAAAATCAACCGTGAGAGACCTGAACATGATTTTTGCGGGAATTGATAGAATTATCGAGGGTCTTCATTTTTTAAATATGTGCAAAATCACGTGACCCTTTCTTCTGGTTAAAACCGGAAGTGCCTTGTAATTTAAAATTGGTGAAAGATGTGAACTTGCTTTCAA